CGCGTGTTTCGTCTGTGTGTGTGAGCGAACGGCACGGACAGAAGTCGGTGAGGACGGAGCCGCCGCCATGTTGTGGATGATGCGCTGAGGGGATGGGACGGGACCGGCGGCTCAGGGGGTCGAGGGCACCTCAGAGGTCGGAGAGAGGAAGTCTGGGAAGGTCGAGAGGAGCTGGTGGTGACCATCTCTCAGCCCTTGGTTTGGATCCAAACAAGGCGAAGGGTGAAGTGGAGCTGTGGGAGGGATGCGCTGAGCTCTTGGGAGAGGGAACAAATCGCGGGTAAAGTGTTCGAAATCCCAGGGTAGGACGAGCCTGGGCTAAACAGAACATCGGTGTAAGAGTTGGTGCGGAATTGTTTTGCTAACGAGGGTGGAAAAACAGCTGACGGAGGAGGATGGAGCTCTGCGGGGTGGGGGAGGATTTGGGGGGGATTTGGGGCTTCGAGGGGAGTGTTGGGACACACTGGGTCAGTGCAGTTCCTGTACTGGTCCCAGTTAGGGGCTGAGCTCTCCAGTTTCCAGGGGGGGTTTCTTTGTGCTCAGTGAGTGCTTATTCCCCAGAAATTCATCCTATTGTATTTTACTTGTTTCTTATTAAATAAAATCAGGGCTCTTTTTTTGCCTGTTAAAGTACAAGATACTTTACACACATATATATGTAACGAGAGAGAGATCATGGTAAAAATATCCTTTGTGAAGTGCTCAGTATGATGCTGTTTGTGTAAACAAAGAAAAATATTTATGTCTCTAGGTGTGGGTTTGGTTTTTTTGCAGTATGTTGTCGTTTTTAACAAGAGAACTGACTGTAAATTTTCTGAATTATTTCAGCTTGATTTTTTTTTTTTTTTTACCCCTCCCAAATTGTTTCCTTAATCTGAATCCAAGTTTTTTCCTCCTCCTCCCTGCAGCAGGACTTCTCCCTTGGAGCGTCTGTGCCGAGAACCCGATGTTGGGCTCGGCTCCCTGGCTGCAGACAGCAGGTCAGCCCATGAAAACTCCCATTCCCAGCCCAAGGAACGAGTCCAGCACAAAGCAGCACCTGCGTTTTCAGGCTTGGAAGCAGGAGAGGGGACAGGAGTTGGAGAGTGTGGAGTCGGAGAAGACAACTGAGAGGTGAGGGGGGTGGGAGAGGCGAATTCCCTGCAGGAGAGGCAGCAGGAAGGAGCCCAGCGCCGTGGGATGGTGTCTGTTGGCAGTTCAGTTAGAGTCTGTTCCTATCTGAGCTGTTCTCGGTTCCCTGTGGGTTTAGCAGAGCAATTCTCACCCACCAGGAAGTTTAGGGAGTGGCTTTATCAGTGCAGACTTTGCCCAGTCTTTAGGTGTGACTTAAGTGTCTCCTGCATAAACCTTAAACTCTGTTTCGTCTGTGCCTCTGTTACTGCTGAAGATATGCCACATTACTCCAGCGACACCTTTGGATGAGGAGAAAAGTGAGGTATTTAGGGGCTGCCTGAGGGGTCAGAGGTTTTGTAACTGTGATGAGACTGAGGTGCATTCCTGAAGGATGGGCTGGTACGGGATCCATCCCAGTGCCATAAGCACTGGGATTGTTGAGCCATTTCAGAGTCAGTGAGCTCCTGCTTAGAAGGCAAACTGTTACAATTCAGTTATGAGCATAAATCAGCCAAGTTCTGGGGTATTCTGAAGTGGCATCTAGTAAAGAAGGATAAAACACTGCTCTGAATTGATCCGGGTTTGGGTTAGACTGAGTTCTGTGCCTTTGCTTAGAATCTAAACACTTAGAATCTCTGAAGTCCTTTCTGTTTAAACACTCTACTGACTTTGGCCCCTGTTGCCACAGGTGACATTTAAGCTGAAGATGGGTGGTGGAGAAAGATACAACATTCCAGTTCCCCAGTCTAGAAATCCCACCAAGAACCATCAGCAGCTGAAGAACAGGCAGAAGCACAAGGAGCAGAAGTCGCAGGTGAAGCCCTGCCTGAAGAAGGAGCGAGGACACGGCTGCAGCTCCTCCCCCAGTGCCTGGCAGGCCATGCAGAAAGGGGGAAAGAACCACAGCAACCAGAACTGGAGTCCTGCTCTCTCCAGCCACCACCTGCTCCTCTCCCCTCAGAGCACCCAGAACTATGCTGGAGCCAAGTTCAGCGAACCTCCCTCCCCAAGTGTCCTGCCCAAGCCACCAAGCCACTGGGTACCTGTTCCCTTCAAACCTTCTGACAAGGAAATCATGACATTTCAGCTGAAAACACTACTGAAAGTCCAGGCCTGAGATGTACCTCCTGCTGTTCCCACAAGTGATTTCACTTTACAGAGTTTCTTTGCTATTCCTAACTCACAGTGGTGTTCTTGCTGCATGGAGTTAGTCACTTGGAAGAGGAGAAAGTTTACATTCCCCTCGTGTTTTACCTCAGAAGTTCAGTGCTGTGTTCATGTCACTGTGAAATAGGTATTTAATCAATCAGTCAAATCCTGGCAGTCACCACTCGTTGTGTTTCTTGGAGATGGGACTGTCCCCAAATTGGAATTGTGACTCTTTGGAGTTGTTAGAAATCAGGTTTTCCCTAACTCAATGCAGCATGAACGGGAACAAACTGCACTGAAAGCTTTAGTCAGGTTATTTGCTGCTTTTCAGACTGGTGTAACATTTGCTTAAGTACAAACTCTGCAGAGATCTGCAAAGCACAGAGCTCCAGCTGAGTCTTTCCCCTTAGCTGAGGGCTCAGTGGCACTCTGAAGTGGTGCAGGAGCACGTTCTGAAGGGATGGAAGAACTCATCAGGCAGATCCATAAAGCCTCTCCAGCTCCAGCAGTGCATCCCAGGAATCTCCACGAGTCAGAGTGCCAACTAGAGACCTTGCACTGCCAGGTGACTGCCAAACCCCCTTGTTTTCCCACTGCACTGAGCTCTAAACACGTTTTATATCAGTTTTATAATCAGAGGTCTGAAATTGGTTCCCTGTAAGGACTTTGGGGCAGGTGGGAATGTTTCCCTAGGGAAGACAGAGCCATGTAAATACATGTAAAACACTGTAGCATATGTAAATTTATGCTGAGCTTTTCCTGCACAGAAGTATTTTTAGTACCAAACTGCTGAATGTAATGACCATGTTGAGTTCGTGGCCTGGTTTTAAAAAAGGATATTTTGTTTAGAAAAAAAAAGAAGATAAAAAAAAAAAGGACATTTGTGGCTGTGCCCTTGACATGCAGTGAATATGCACATTGTATTGGTTGTGAGCTCGTTTTTTAAATCAGTGCAAAAGAGGCTTATTTAGATTTTTTTAATAAAAAAAGGAAAAAAAAAAACTTTAAAAAAAAAATACAAGAGCTGCTGAAGTTTCAGATCCTCCTGTGAATGTGTAGGAGAGGAAAGAAACACTCAAGTGCTCCAAATTAGGGATTGCTAATTTGGGTTTGGGTGCTTGGGGACAACAAAGGATTGTGACCATTCTGAAATGTAAAACATTTGGGCCCAGTGTTTTCCAGGTCCCTGGGGCAGGTGGCAGCAGCAGCAGCTCCAGGAAGGACTAAAAAAGTGCTTTAATTAGGGATTTGAGAGTGTTTGAGGTGTCTCTGTACATTCCAAAGGCAGTGGCAGCTGAATGTTTACAAATTATTGCTCCAAACGAATGGAATTGGCAATCTCCAAACTTGTGTTGGGACCTTCACCAGAGTCTGAGTTGTATCCCAGTTAATTATCTATTCTCCACTTCAAATTGTCAATTACTGAGCGTGTTTGTACAAATTGGAAACAAAAAAAAATCTTAAATAAACTTTTTTTTTTAACCCCCTAAAAGCTTCTCTTTGTTTTCAGATGAAATGGAAGAGTGGGATGACAGTTCCCTTGGCAGGGGGGAGGTTCCTTAATCCTCTCCTCCTGTTCTTTGGTGGGAACACAGCACTTGCAAATTAATTGCTAATTATGTTCCTCTCCAGACCAGGCCCTGGTGAGACTCTGTCTCCCCCAGACTGAACTGCATTAATTGAGTCAGAAGGTGCTCTCGAGTTATAGTCAAAACTTGTACATTTTATTCCCAATTCACAGGGTATTTGCACAGATGGAACACAAAACTCAAGAAGAAAAGGATGTGGATGAATAAAACATTAGCATCTTTGATCAAACACACTACAGGGTACAGAGTCTTCCCTTCCTACAATAGTCTCATCAGCAAGAGCATCTTTAGACAAATATAGCAATGGACTACAGACGACTTTTTTTTTTTTTTTAAGCAAGTTACAAGATAAATGGAGAAAAACCAGCAATTCTTAATGGGTGATTATGTCCTAAAAATGGGTCAGTTTATCCCTTTGTACTTCCAAATGTTCATCTGCACCATCCCTGCCAAACCCAAGCAGCAGTGCCGAGTGTGGCTCCGACCGCCTCAGGGCACTCTGAGCAGCTCAAAGTAACATTGACAAGTTCCACTTTGACCCAAAGCAGGAGATACTGTACATCAAACATCTTGAAAAGACATCGAGAGGGTAACAGTGAATCTCTGGGAGAGTCCCTAAGGAACACCCAGCTACTCAACCACTACATTGCAATCTGGAATTACCAGTTGGGTGCATGGACTTGAGGTGAAAAAGGAGTTCCAAAGAGCCTTCTCTGACTGCTGAGATCACTGGAATCGCTGCAGATATTTTGGAGCACAGCCTTTCAGCAGAGTTTGTAGTTTGCTTTTTTTTTTTTTTTAACATGCTACTTCAATTCTACAAATTTTTGCAGGAATGACAAAATCTAGTTTAACCACAGGAAAAAAAAAAAAGCGTAATTCCCACCGTTCTTGAGACTCCAAAAGAAGGATGCCTAGACATGATCTTTTGTAGCCTGCAATGTTCTTGCATTCCAGCTGTGCATAACCTGCAGGAAGCTTGCACAAGACAGGCTCCTGGTTTTTTGTTGTTTATTTTTTAGGGCAGGACTAGGAATACCTGCATCAAGGAAGGGAGATGTTATCTAGATGGGCTGTGGCTTGACTTGCATGAATGCATAAACATTCCCTGCCCTTTTGGCCACATCCTGCTAACTCGTCCCCAACTGAAAGGCCCACAGAACAGCTTCTTCACAATTTTTCCATGGGAGCAAGAACTAGGACAACATCTTTATTCATGCACTCTTGAAACATCGTGGGTTTGTGTTCGGCTTTTCTGGCTTGTTCATATACACAAGTCAAGTCAAAGTTTAGTCCTACCTCTGGGAGAGAAAGAAAGAACCATCAGAACTGGCAGATACTACATGAAACTTGCAATGAACTGGATTTTTCAAAACAAAGATTAAACTCTGCTATACATCAATGGTGAGGCACACAACATGCTGACACAACCCCAAAGGAATAGTTACTGTCACTCTGCATCCCAAATCAGCCCCTCAGCCTGGGCAGGGAGGTTGTTCTCCTCCCTCCTCCCATGGCCAGCTCAGCTCAGGTGAGCAGGAGCCCCAGCAGTCCCTTGCAGGTGGCTGGCAAAGAGGCCACACCTTGCCCGAGCCATGCCAACCTCTTTTGGGAAGCATTTAGTCATGAAGACTGTGCTGCTAAAGCTGAAAAGGGTGGGGGGCTCTGTTAGAAGCAGAAAGCTGCATGATAATCACAGCTCAGCTTTTCAGGGTGGGTTTCTCAGAGCCATGAAGTGCTTTACAGAGGGATTTTCTCTCAGCTGGGAATGTCACCACCTCCCACGGAACCAACCACTGCTGGTGCCAGGTGTGATACCTGGAATTGGTAAGGTGATGCTACAAATGGGGTTCTACATGAACCTCCAGCTGCTGCTTTTAAGCAGCTCAGAACCCAACTAACAGCACTGGCATCATCACCACAGGGCAAATGCATCCAGGAACAATGAAAGTTAATGGGAAAAAAAAAAATCAATTAGACTAACACTTATGCTCATCATCCTCCTTTTGTCTCACACCCCTTTAAAAGGTGAAATGATGTTTATTCAGATATCCAAAGAGCAACTCCTGCCTTCCCTGAAACACCAGAGTAAGGACTTGACTCCACGAGGGATGCATAGCTCTACTCCTGACCATGCTCTGGAGGCAAACTCTAAAGCTACAATAATTCCAGTGGATCAGTATTTCCTTCATTTTTTTATTACAGCATGTTTGCTAAATTTACAGCAAGCAGAAAATAAGCTGGGTCTTTAGTTATTTTGATCAAAACATTGATGTTTTAAAGGTAGTACACAATATTTGTTAAAAAGAACATATAAAAATACCTTTTTAGAAGCCTCTATAAGAAAGGAAATACAAAGTTTAATCCCACAACTTTCCTCTGCTAGAGCTGCAACGCTACTGCTACAGTTTTTAAATAGACTTTTTTTTTGCTGTTTTGTTTTTTTTTAAACTATACATCCAGGATAGTCTACAAAAATGAAAGGACCGTGCATATAAATGATTGCATAGCAGAACATGAACATTAACTGCAAACAGGAAAGAAAAAGTTAGAAATACTATCAAATGTAGAAAGGTTCTAGGATCAACCCCCTAAGCACGTTCTGCTGCTCCAAAGCCATCTGCACTTCTTGGAAGGCTCTGCTGAAACACTAACCCCAAACCCTAAAGTGTTTCTCTCAAAAGGAACTTTGGAAATCAATGTTTTTCTAGGCTACAACATCAGACAGCAAAGGAACGCTAAGTGTTGGATGTTGGCTCTGGAAGGGAAAAGCCACTTCCATAACATAGGCTCACACCTTCTAGAGAAATACTGGTAAGATTATACACTGGGTTTGGTTATTTTTCACATTCAGTTCTCTAAATATACTCTATGAGTGGTAACTAAATAGCTAGAGCTGCAGCTCTTGTTCATAGCCAACTTCAAAGGTTTGTTCTGAAGTGAAAGGAAATTTTGTAACCAAAGCACTATCCGTTCTGAGGAAGGAGTGATCCAGACCTGCCTGTGGCTGTGGAAGAGCAGGTCTGTGTTACCCAGGAGGAGAGATGGCTAAGGTTTGACACCTATGAATACACCAACTAACCACAGGAGTCATTGGCATGAAAAGTTTAGCTCTTATATACTGTACACACACGACTCGAAACGATCTACTGGCGCCTAACAGCAGGAAAACTAAGCAAGTTCATGGTTAACTGCTCACTAAAATTTCTGATAGATACAAAAACTGCATTAAAATGTACACACGACCTAATATTTAGTTGCTCTGCCGTTTGCTGGAATCTGAGTGGGATTTTCCACTTCCCTCACACCCTCAGCACTAGCAGCCAGGCTGGAGGCAGCGAAGCCTCTGTCCCGACACTGCACAACCTCTGAGTGAGCTTCAAGATCAACTCTCTCCCCGTGTAGGACATGCAATGTTAGTACCATCTCTGCAGGCAGCAGGGTGAGAGAGAACTCTCCAGAATCTCTCTCCACAGAGCTCCCATCACCAAGCTAGTGGTGTCTGTGGGCACGGAGAACACGGAACTCTGAGCCCCCAACACGCTGCCAGGCTGACTCCCCAGCAGCCAGTGTTGCACTACAGCTGTCCAGTTTTTCCTTTTAGTGTTAAAAGAACCAGTTAACCCAGTTGGTTTAACTGTTTAGCACAAACTGGTACCAATTTCTCTAAGGGTATGACATTTGTAATAGGACAATGTTGCAAGTTACGATCGATCGATTCATCACCAATATCTAAGCATTAAAAATGCAAATCTTTACAAAAATATACATAGAGACACCACAACCAAATCAGTAGCTGCCCAGGACATGTAACCACGTGGACATTCTCTCTCTCCCTCTCTCTCTCTCTCTCTCTCTTTTTCTGTGGCTTCTCAACATTGTTTTAATTTTAACCATTGTTGGCTACAGGGAAAACTGACAAAGAAAATAGTTTTTAGCACTGTTGCAACATCATATTCCTGATAATTTAAGTAAACTGAACTGTGTGTAAATGAATCTTACATGCCTAAACCAACATGGATACACTGTTAGTGGCCACTGGACTTGGGACTAGTCCAAGACCTCGATCTGGATTTTGACCTAGATCTAGAATGTGATCTTGACTGTGATTTGGATCTAGCTGGTTCTTTTTTCCTCGACTCCTTCTCATATCTTGAGCTGGACTTATAGTGTGTTTTAGAATCTGTTTTAGAAGTGCCTCTAGATTTGGTGTGAGATGCAGACCTAGACCGTGATTTAGCCTTCATTTCTTTCTTGGGCTGTGACTTGGATCGTGATCTTGAATTGGACTTAGATCTTGAAAAAGATCGATTGCGGTGTTTGAACCTATCAGAATAAAGGGGAGAGAGGAGATTTGAATGTCAAAACACTAGTCTTAGACATCTAATACAGCAAAAATTGTTTCACCGTTTTTTGCAGGAGAAATGGGGTTGGTTTTTTTTGCTTTTTTTTAAACCTATAGTTAAAGGAACAATCATCTATTTGCAACGTAAAGAATGTAAAAAAGGGTTTTACCTATCGTTGTCCGAATGGCTTCTGCTACGGCGAGGTCTTCCAGTAGGTCTACTGCTAAAAAGGTACATCAGAAAGGGTAAACAACCCTCTGTGCATGCACACAAATGCTTAATACATTACATTTCAAGCTGTGCATTTGCTTTTAATTACTCCCCAGTGCAGCACAGAACCATTTCACTGAGTCTTTGCAGCCGACGTAGCATGCAAGGGACACAACCCCACGAGCTCCTCCCACAAAAAACCACCACACAAAATGCTATCAAACTGCAGTCAGTGGTGCTTGTCCTCCAAACACACCCCACGGGCACTTACTTTCTGGGACTATAGGATCTTCTATAGCTGTAATCAAAGGAACGACTTCTAGACCTTCTCCTCTCGTAACTGCGACTCCGAGATCGTCTGTATCTGTCATAGTCATCGTAACGGGAAGAACTGTACAGGTTTCTCCCTTCCTTGGCTTTCATTTGGTTTGGTGCTGTCAAAAAATAGCAGTATTTAAGTTGAAAAACATGCCCTACTTTCTCCTGGGTGACTAATCCATACTCTTGGTGGTTAGCAGAGAGGCTCATTTGTGATTCTAGCTGAGGTGTCTGTGGAAGGACAGGGAAGAAGCTGCTCTGGGCCATTTGCTTTGTGCTGCTTTAGCTACTGGACAAACACTAATGCAGCCTCGTGGGGATGAGAAATGTAAGGGAAACCCCAACAAAAAGCCCATTAAGAACAGTAAGGAAGGACTCCATAAAGCCAGAGCAGAGAGCTGGCTGAGGTGACTTCAGGCCAGCTGGAAACTGGTGTGACAGGCCAAACCCATGACTGAGATGTTCTACCATTCCTGAATTCACCCCAGGAGTGAAATTAATTCAGCACTCGTTTTCCTGCCTGCACAGGGCCACACGTTACACCTGATCCACAGCTGTCTTGAATGATTTAAAAACCAGCTCACACACAGGCAGCACTGGATGCCACACAAAGGGAAGTTTGATCCCCCACTAAAACAATGCACACATCCACTCTTGGCTGAGTTATTAAAGTCATTAAGAATGAATGAAGTTATTAGCCTGCTATTGTATTTCCTCTAAGCAGCACAGCTATCCTTCCTTTGCACCTAATCCCTCTCTCATTTAGGCCCAAACACCATGCCCTAAGTGTTTTAAACCTACCACCCTGTACCAAACACTCTCTGGACTAAATGCCTTCAGTTTTTAATGTTTCAGTGCTGCTGCTTACAACACTGAGGTAGATTTAGTTCACAACCTCAGGAGAGATCTCAGTGTTTATTAACAGGGCAGAAATTTGTCCTTCAGAGCATAAAACTACCACTGACTGCAATCAAAGTGAGCTGTGTGCATTTGAGGGAAAACTGGACAGTCAGGTCTGTAATTAAAGATATTTAAGGTACTTTACTCCCAAGCAGCACATGACTATTACAGTCCTGGTTTAGATAAGAGGTCTGTGCCAGCTTTGCCAACAGCAGGTTTTATTTTCATATCAGATCTGTACCTCCCTATTAAGACTTTGTATACAATAACAGGTTTAAAATACCTAAGTTCTGTTTATACTTCTCTGCTCCAAAAATAAGAATTCTCAACTGAGATACTTTGAAATTCACTTTCAGCTGAAGCCAAATGAAAATGAAAACATTCCCTCAATGCTGGTAAATCAGAGCTTGGAGAATGACTGTGGTAAATGACTGTTGTGCTTAGTTATCTGTTATAATTAAGACAAGTCATTAATAGTGACTGGCTAAAAAGCAAACCAGCTGCTATTTATAGGCATGAGCATATCCCCACAGCTGTGAGAGGTTGTGAGGTGCTGACAGGAAGGCTCTGGCCCTGGGGGATGGAAGGTACTTACTCTTTCGATCTCCCTGTGCAAACTGGATCTCTATCTGCCGACCACAAATCCACTTTCGATCCAAGTTGTGAAGAGCATCCTCTGCATCCCGGACATCTTCGAATGTGGGGAGGGTTAAGGTACTTGAAAGTTTGAGCAGTTTATATATTTTGGTATTTAAAATAAAAATAAAAACCAGTTACTGGCTAATTTTCCAGGTGGCTTTTTTGTAAGTTCTTTTGCCATGCTACACTACACACTAGTGAGTTATTGTTTTAATCAACCACCAGCTGAGAATGCCTGTAATGAAATTAAGGTCTCATAATATGACCATGAACTGATCCATCAGCAGCTAATATGGGATACTCTATTTTTTTTGCTTCTCCCACTTGTACTTATGCAAAGCAAACAAAGGTATCCTTTCCAAACACACTGATTAACGGTCATTTAGTTCTCTCCACTACACTGAGTTTATTAAAATTAACCCCTGGCTCTTCAATTCTGCTGGATGTACCAACAGTCAGCATTCACTGGGATAAAGCTTTACTGGTTTTTTTTCTACCAAAGCTGACGTGGAGTTTAAATGCTGCAGTGCCACAGGTGTGTGCAGACCTGCCCCAGGCTGAGGTGAGAGCAGGTGACAGGCACTCACCTCACTGAGCTCAGACACTTGCTCCCAGCTCCAGCAGGAGCTGCCTCTCTCCTCCAGGCAGCTCCACCCCAGAGAGACACTCTGCCATGCTGTAGGCATCTCCCTCAGTAACCCCAGACCACACTCACAAGAGAAATATTACAGGTTTTGTCAATGGACTAAACCAGAATAATTCATCAAATTACTGCTTACATGACAGACAGAAGAAAAACTGTTATTCTGTAGGATACATCAGGTATGACTCCTTTAATCTTGGCCACCATTCAACTTCATCTTGACCTTTAACTCTTTAAGTGCTTGTCAGAAGGACTTGTCATGAGATGCTTGGCCAAAAATGACAGATGGCTTTATCTTTTACTTTGAAAAACAACCTTTTCCCCCTTTTGTGGATAAAGCGAAGCTTTGTCTCCCATTATGGCTTGTCCTTCTTCCAGCTTTACTTTTTCTTTTCCCAAACTCTCCCTTCTCTTCAAGCCTGATCCTTAAGAGGTCTTTGGCTTGTCTACTTGCCTTAATTGTTGAACTCTACTCTAAAGGTTCTTTCATGCTTTCTCTTTGGGGTCGCCAATACTGTACAGCTTTACATTCTGAGGCAACAACAGAGGACAGCAAATTAGGGGACAATATTAGAGAAAGAAGTTCACCTCATTTTTTTACACAATCTGATTTTGAGCAAGTGATTCCAGTTCCCATTCGTTAAATTAACAATGAACACCAGCCACATTTTGCTAAGCACAACTTTACTTACACACCAGTGATAATAAAAACGTGCTAAGACAACTCTGAGGCAGTGATAAATGTTCATTTAAATCAGAGAGAATTAATTTCAGTGACACAAGCAAGCTTTGTTTTATATTACTGGACTTGATTTAAGCTTGGCAAAAAAAAAAAAAAAGGCAAAGAACAATTGAGAGAAGTTAATCTTCAAAAAGAAAGAACAAAACACCACGACATGAGTAAGACACTTATTAGATACAACACAAAATAAACTGCTTTTTCATGGAGATTGGTTACCTCTTACACAAACTGGAATTGCAAACTTCAACCCCTCACTACTGAGCCATCTGAAGAAAGGATATTGAACATAGGCAAATCCTCTGGGACGACGAGTGTAGAAGTCAAGTGGAACGTAAACATCAACTATGGGCCCATAACGCCCAAACTCACGGCGCAAGTCTTCAGACCTGCAACACCACAGACACCTCAGATGGTTTGTTCACTGCCTCAGGGTTACAAAATATCCACCAAGCTAAAAACAGTGAGTTCAGTCTACAGCCAGTGTGACCAGCCCTGGTGTTTGGAAGGAATAGGCAGAGGATGAATGGAGAGGAGAGGGAGAAAAGTGTTTGGGCAAATCACGGTGAGAACATCAAACTTTACTGAGACACTCAAGGCTGAGGATGTTTAAGACAGACCCTGGAGTTTGCAACCAGCCTCCAGCACAGCTCTGAGGTAAAAGGATAAACTGGGATGTGCTGGAATAAACCTATACACTGAAAAGGACTAGAGTAAAACCTTTAAACTAGAAACGACTAGAGTAAACCCTACAAACTGGAAAGAACTAGAGTAAACCCTACAAACTGGGAAATCCTAGACTAAATCCATCAACTGGGAAGTGATACCCATGAGTTAACTCAGTGCAGGATGTACCAGCAAAGGTTGATAGAAAGTGGAAAAAAAGGATTGATAATGATTCCTGTTTTTCAAGTGCCTCATGTAACTCGATGGTGATTTTGCAAGGCACAAACATCAACTCTAAGTGCCAAATAAACAAACCAGTCACCCAAACTCATTTCCATAGGATAATCAATACTTACAACCACATCAAATAGAACAGAACTGAGTGAGCAACAACCACTCATGCCCTGGGGATAGATATTCCAAAGTGTTGGAGAGCTGAGAGAAAACAGTTCAACTCCAACTACCCCTGGAACCACCAACTCTCCCTCCAAGAGGTTTTTCATCCCTCTTGGCTTCTTTACATGTACTTTAATGACATTTAAGGACGAAAACCTGCATGAGAAAGCTGATGCAACACCATATTTAGGTGGTATGAAGAGTTACTGCTGGTTTTTACCTCTTTACACTTCTCTTTATCAGTTGGGATGTTATCTACAGAGTCAGAGCTGGCAGAAGGGAACTACAACCACCAGCACTGAGACCTCCTGGTGAAACCACCTCCAAGTGGTGACACCTCATCACAACCTTGTGCTGAAGCCTCAGCAGGATCCACATTGTTTTAAAGCATTGGGAAGTTAATTGTCCTCCTCAGCTGCTTTAAGAGTAAAACAAAGTGGTGGAAAAGGGGGAAAAAATTAGCAACACCAAAAAAATGAAGTTTCATTTGAAGCTACTGACACTTTTGATCACAATGTGCCTAATTCATTCCATTCCACTTGGCATTTGCTGAACAACTGTGGTATAAGTTGCTCAGATAAGGAGTTTAAAGCTTGTATTTTATACAAATAAATATTCCAGCGACTTCCACGCCAACTGCACATAAAATCAGCAGCTCTGGATTGCTCTGACCCCTCCAATCCACACCAACTGCCCCATCAATGTGCCACAGCTGATAACAAACACACTAAACGGACACGATAAGCTGCAAAGGAGGAAAGGGAAGCACCAGTTCGCTAAAACTCTCTAAGAATGAATCAGAACTTGCACCCAACACTTCGAAAGGCTTTAAATTCCCCGTGGGCAGTTCTCTCACTGCACATATTGAACCCTTACGGGATCTCACTGCGGCACGATCGTACCGGGGGCACAGGCATCGCCTCCCCGAGCTCCGTGCGAACACTTCTCACAGCAGTTAACACGGTGATATCTCTATGAACGCGCGGAAATCCCACACTTAGGGAACCAGCCGCACCATAAATTCTGGGGAGTGGGGGACGACACTCTATTTCCTCCCGCCGTATTCCAGCGGCACATTCCAACCTGGAGCAGCGCCGGGGCCGCGGGTACGGGCGGGGGGCGAAGCCAGCGGGGTTCGTCGCTGTCCCGCGGCCCAGCTTTGTTCCTGCGAGCGCGGAGGAGGAGGAGGAGGAGAAGGAGGAGAGCCGCGTGGCGAGGCGGAGACGGCAGGGAGGGAGGGATGGGATGGAGGGAGAGAGGGATGGGATGGAGGAAGGGATAGGATGGAGAGAGGGAGGGAGAAATGGGA